TTTTCGATGTATAAGCTTGTTTTGTAAGAATTTTGATTTGATTTGTTGGATTTGATTTGATTTCTTTAGTTAGCAGGACTGTAAGTGTGAAAATAGGTTCTTGTTTTGGCCTTATCAATAGGTGATTGTTTTGGCTGTGTTAACAGGCGAAAATAGACAATCATTTTGAATTTAGTTTATACACTTCTAAGCAAGCAAAAACTGATGTGTTTCATTTAAATTAGAAAGGTTGAAATTTTGGATGATCCTTAATTTTCTACTATCCAAGAATTGTACGCAAGGGTCTGAAGGTCGAAGCTTTGGGACTATTCATTTTGGAACTAGTAAGTTGTAATTTATATAATCTATTTGTTGGAAAGATAAATTGTGCATTTAACCATTTAAAAGAATTCAATAATGTAAATAGATTATAATTGGAATTAATTTATGATAAATTAAAACTCTAAAATAGCAATAACAATATCATAGTATATACTAAAGGTAACAAGGAATATTATCAAATATTTTGTGCTAAAAATCAGTGTCCAAGTTTGTTATTGTGTAGGATGTTGTTTTCTTACATAGAGGCAATAGTCACTTTATGATACTTACGAATATGTTTGAGGCTTATCTTTAGTGGCGGCAACATGCTGCTATTAAGTTGCCAACTCTTCCAAAACCTCTAATAGAAAAAATCAGTCAAGAAAACTTTAAAAAAATATATATATCTTGTTTTTATAGTCTTGACAAAGGTTATTTTCATTTTGTACATGATATTGTAACCATAGTCATGGATTTCAGAATAATGTACTTGACGACCTTACCCTGGTTTTCAAAGAGATCTGGAGAATATTTGGTATTTTCTAGTCTCAATTTAGAAAATGAGATTTTGTGCACGCTTGCATTTCTAGCTAGTGTTATATTTTGGTCACTTATAACAAATTTTATATTGTTTTTATATGCCTGTCTCTTTTATTGAGGCACGTCATGGTTTCAAGAAGCAAACAATATGGTTATTCTTTAGGGATATGATAAAAGGAATTGCCTTAGCTATTGTGACTGGTCCCCCTATTGCTGTTGCTATCATATATATAGTTCAGGACATCCGTACTAGCATTATATTCATGGTCATTTATGCTTATTGTATCTATTGTTATGATTACAATTTATCCAGTTTAAATTGCACCACTTTTCAACAAGTTCACTCCACTACCAAAAGAGGACTTTGAGAGAAAATTGAGAATCTTTCTTCATCTCTCAAGTTTCCTTTGAAGAAGTTGTTTGCAATTGATGAAGAAACAAGGTCAAGCCATAGGAATGCATACATGTACGGATTTTGTAAGAAAAAAAAAATTGTTCCTTGTGACATGGAGGTTTTACCCTTGTTCGGAACTCTAAAGATTTATTTAAGAGCTTTCCAGCCCTCATTACATTTATAATATTTCAGCACATATTCATACCTCTCCAACATCTTGTGATCTTTTACTCAATCTGGTTAGTTGAGCAATTCGAGTTTCAAGCTGATATTTTTTTCTTGGAAACTTGGCTATGTTGCACCTCTTCGAGTTGGCCTCAGGAAACTGTAGAAAGAAAACCTCTATGAACATTGATCCTTGGTGTTTGGCATATCACTATTCCCACCCTCTATTGGTCGAAAGTTAAGCTGCTATCGAAAAACTCAAAAAGAAAACAAACTAAACATACACTACAAGAAAAAATCACTTTTGTAACAAAATTTTTTTGTCTCTACATCTACTTTTTCCGTTACTAATGATATTAGAGATGAAATTAGTAATAGAATTACGTTAGCTACGTGAACTTTAGGGACAAAATTCCGTTACAAATATATTATTTTTTTGTAGTGATATGGTATGAGGTGAGGTTCTGATACATGAGGTAAATCATTTTCAAACACATTTGTGTGATGTTTTTTAATGTGTTGTTAAAATGAATGTTGTATGGCGGGGGTAAATGAAGGATTGATTGCATGTTATTATATTTTCTTAACCATGACAAAAATAAAGGAAACAATATTGCTACTTTGTTAAGGAAAAAAAAAATTGTTGTTATTGTGTAGGAATATTTTAGTGAGTCGGCATCTAAAATTTCAATACACGAATCTCAAAAATAAAAATCAGTATTAATGCTTAATCCGTATGGAGAGGATTGCAGTGCAATTTAAAATTGTTTCATGAAAACTCAATGCTCAAAAGCTCATTCTAGTGCTGCTATTTATACTACTTGAATGATAATAGAAAATGGTTGAGAAAATTGAAGAGCCCATTTCAATCAATGCTCGTTTATTTTTTCATCTCATTTTAAAATTGCTTGATTGTTTCTTAATAAATTTTATGATTTCATACATTCAAATGTGTTATTAAATAGATTCTATGAATTATTGTGGATCTTTTGTTTCAGACATTCAGGACGGTATCACGTTACTTTATTCTTTTATTGGTATGTGTAAGTAGGGCATATAAAATATGCCAAGAAAAACGAATGTAGGTAAGTTTTTGTAATATAAAAATACATGGCGAGCAAAACAATTTGAATGCATAAAAATACAACATGGGGAGCAGTTGTATTTTGAACGTTGATCGGGGAGTTAATCCCCCAGTGGTCAAGCGGAAGTATTATTGTTTGGCAGCCTTAAGGGACGGATTCAAGGCAATGTTTCAAATTGTCATTGGACTAGACAATTGGTTTCTTAAGGGGATTTATAACGGGCAGTTGCTAACAGCCATGTGGAGAGAACCAAATTGAATGAAAATATATAACCTATAGTCCTTTGGTTTTTCGAGGTTGAAAAGTACGAGATGCGGGACTGGTTCTTAGAGAGATTGTCGAGGATATGAACATGTTTTCATCGACTAAAATCAAGTTTATGATTAATTAGATAATTTTGTTATAGTTGATCTATACACGTTCAAAACCAAATTTTCTTACTTTTTTATAGCTAAGGTACGACGATTAGCTACTTTTCTAATCGAGTGATAACCTTAGGTACAATCATAGCATTTACTGACTTGACATCATTGACAAGTAGAAAAGATCAATTCAATTTTGCAATATTCTTACAAGGATTTGTTCAAAATTTATGTTAATTCTTCCCTAGGGTATTATTCTTCTATGTTGATACTCCAATTGAAAGATTTTACAATTACAAGTGTCAATTTCCAATATAGCTTAAAATCTCGAGCTAATACGTGATCAAAAATATCAACTTAGGAATTTTAATCTTGTATAGTAGAGAAATTAAAATTATTGAATACCAATGCTTTTAATTATTTGATCAATCATAAAGCTAATTTACATTTTTAGTAAATTATTTGTTTGAAACAGGTTATTAGTCCCAAAAAGTTATTTTTTAAAACGTTGGATAATAGCTTTTTCACTTTTTTTTTCCCTTAATAATTAAAGTATTCATTTCACATATTAAAATATTTTTATTGTAGTATTTATTAAATATTTTAATATATTTTCTTCTATTAAATGCAAACATAATACAAACCAAGAAGTTCATCGTGCTTTTTATCTTAAAAATTGATGGAGAAATCAAAATCTGAAGATGATGCAGAAGGCGCCCAGGACTGCTTATGGATGAATGATCGATGAAAACAGAAGTTCTACGCGTGCGATTCCCTTCCCTCCGTGTTTCTCCCTCTCCTTTGTGTGCGTGCACATGTGCTATTTTTTTCAACCTTAGATTCCCTATGCTATTTTATATTAAATTTTGAAAGAATTGATATATAGCCCGAGGACCTTTTCGCAATTTTTAAATCTTATTCACACAACACCCGTGGATTTCTTTAGGTGTGGTCAAGTATAAGGCTCTCGTGCATTATGCTCTTCTCGCCATGCATTTGTGTCTCATGCATCATTTGTATTTTCTTTAAATGTGATTACTTCTAATACTGTTCTGCATTATGTGCTTTGCCATTAAATTTTGACGGTGATTGTCAATTTAGATGAAATCCACCAAAAAAACAACCAATTAGGAGCATATATATATATATATATATAAATATATAAACATAATTTGCATTGAAAAATAGCCAAGGCTATAGCAAAATATTGACCTAACATAACATATATCAAATTATTTGTATTGTATTATAATTACTTTTATTAATAATTTTTAAAATATTTACTAATTATGTGACTCCTAAAATTGGACCTCGATGGTAAAGTAAACAAGACAGCGTATGTGAGATGGAGTAAAAATCTAGAAGCACAGTTTATTGGTACGTGAAAGGATACATCGGAGCCGCCATCAAATTCGTTCAAACCATAATATATTGGATAAAAAAGAAGAGGAAAATACTTTTTCGTGGGCCTGGTTTGCAGGGTATTAAGTTCGATCGGAGGTTTATCCCGTGCACACTTTCGGGTAGCGGCTACGAATTCTCACGTCGTAAAAAAATAAAAATAAAGAAAAAAGAAGGAAAACAAGTAAGAGAGAGTGCAGATTGAAGTTGCGTAGGCGAGATTGAGTGGGAGGAAGCGTGTGGTAATGGTGACAGCCCAAAAGCATGAAAATACAAGGGTGAACAAGTCATTTCCACGTAACCCGTGTTGTTGGCTAAAACACACTTAATTACATCACAACATTACATGGTGCTGTGCATAATGAAATTGAGAAAAGTTAGACCATTAATTAATCAACGTTTACGCATACATACAAACATACATACCCTTATAATCGATACATAAAATTATGTGTATCCATGCAAGAAATACTTTACTGCTGTCTTTGCAATCATAATGAGGGTGAGGGTGAGGGTGCTTTTGTTCTTTTGTGGGGTTGATTTTCTTCGGTCCAATTGCTTCAAGTTGGAACCATAGGCTACCCCTTAGAGGGGCATGTACCCTCGTATAAAGCACCCCACCCCACCCCACCCCACCCCCACCCCCACCCCAGCTGTATGTACAAGTGTTTTAAGAAGGGTGACTTATTCATAGATATATATAAATATGTATATATATGTCTAGCTAAGCTGGAAGGCTAAGGAAGGAAAAAGGGTTTTCATTATATATAGTTTCCTTAAAGCTAAAAGAGGTCAGAAAGCTGCTTCTATATCCTACCCAAAGAAATGCCCTTTTTCATTGTTTTGATTTCTTTTCCCCCATGGTTTTGTTAATTAGCTCTTGCTAGCTGCTCCTGCTGTGCTGCTGTATATTCCCCCGTGTGTGTATATATATATATATATATATATATATACATATACCAATCAATCTATCCGATACTAGCTAGCTATATAACCATAACCAGCTAATTGTGTTTTTCCATATATCATTCCTGGAATTGAATTGAATTGAATCGAATCAAATTCAAAGATATATATCATTGGTTGTTGAAGATCTTCTTCAAGGTGCAGATAGATTAATGTTGAGCAACAACGTGGATCCATCCAGCCCTTGGGAAAGCGGCAGCAAACGGAAGCGCCGCCCCGCGGGAACTCCTGGTATAGATAGATATAGATACAAGTAATTTATTGAATATATATTATTGATGATTCTATCAATCTGTAGATCCGGATGCGGAAGTGGTGTCCCTGTCGCCGAAGACGCTGCTGGAATCGGATCGGTACGTGTGCGAGATCTGCAAGCAAGGGTTCCAACGGGAGCAGAATCTGCAGATGCACCGGCGCCGCCACAAGGTGCCGTGGAAGCTGGTGAAGCGGGAGACCCCCCTGGCGAGGAAGCGGGTGTTCGTGTGCCCGGAGCCGACCTGCCTCCACCACCAGCCCGGCCACGCCCTCGGCGATCTCGTCGGCATCAAGAAGCACTTCCGCCGCAAGCATAGCAACCACAAGCACTGGCTCTGCAACAGGTGCTCCAAAGCCTACGCCGTCCACTCCGACTACAAGGCCCACCTCAAGACCTGCGGCACGCGCGGCCACTCCTGCGACTGCGGCCGCGTCTTCTCCAGGTGTGTTTAATTGTAAGATTTTATCCATAATTTTACTACTTCAATTTTCTTTTTCTTCCAAAAACACCAAACAAACACTCAATTTTTATTTAATTTTATTATATTATAGTAAACACACCCTTGTATTCAGTGCAAGAATGTTTTTGCTTTCACTCCCTTTCTTCCACTCTATCTATCCATCCATCCATCTTTCTTTCTTTAATTTGAATCTCGTGTAGTCAAGTCAAATCGTTATCTGTAGCATCCCAAAAAATACGTCTGTCTGGAAAAAAAGGAATGGACTGACTGTGTTTTGTAGCAGTTTTAATTATTTTAAATCTTAATTAAGCACATGTATAATGCATGTAAGTATTTTCCGTAAGGGAATTTTTGTGATTTGATGTTCCCAACATTGGCTTTAATTTTTTAATCCTTTAATATTTGTTGAATTATTACATACATACATCAATTCTCCATGAAATTAGGATATATATATATATGATTCCAAAATAATTAAACATGATGATGCCAAGATTTTAAGAGACCGATTTGTTCTTCCTCTGATTTTTATTTATATATAATACTTTTTTGATCTGTGTCGTCATCTCTCTTTTCAAATTTTTTGTTTAATCAGTAATAACTCTATTTAATAAACTAAATCGATCATCTTTATCAACGGTTGCCGTTTCCAAATGCTGGAATGGAATCATCACGTGTCTTTAGTTAGTAAGTATGATTGTGATTGCCTTGGGTTGAATGATTGCACTGCTGGATAAAATTTGAAATTAAATAAAGAATTAATCAATCAATCAATCAATACATGTGATGGGATGATGATGAATTTCTTTCTTCAATAACTTCATTTATTTTATTCATTAGGGTGGAGAGTTTCATCGAGCATCAGGACGCTTGCAGCATGAGCCGGCTCCGGTCCGAATGCCACCCGGTTTGCTTGTCGCGGACCGCTTCGAGTCCCAGCCCCTCCAGCGACACCAATCTCAGCGTAGTTGCGCGGCGGCCGTTTACCAATCCTCCAAATCTGGAGCTGCAGCTCCTGACCGCCGCCGGAAAACTGGAGGACCACTCGAAGACGCAGTTGCAGCTTTCCATCGGCTCGTCGGAGGTCTGTGAGAAGGCCGAGAACAACGCAAATAAACTCCTCTCCCAAAACGGCGTCGTTTTCAACAGTAGTAGCTCGCCGCGGGGGAGCAGCAGCACCGCCGGCGGGAAATCGGCGGCGAGGGAGCAAGCGGAGGAGCAGCTGCGGACGGCGATGACGGAGAAGGCGTACGCGGAGGACGCCCGGCAGCAGGCGCGGCGGCAGATCGAGCTGGCGGAGCAGGAATTGGCTAACGCGAAGCGGATCCGGCAGCAGGCGCAGGCGGAGCTGGAGAAGGCGCAGGCGCTGCGGCAGCAGGCGGCGGAGCAAACCAACGCCGCCGTGCAGCAGTTCACGTGCCAATCTTGCCAGCACAAGTTTCAATTCCACGAAGCAGCCGCCGCCGCCGCCGCCGCCACGTCATCCACTCTTCCAGAAACTTCTTCTGCTTCGTTGAGTTACATGTCGGCGGCGCTGCGAGAATGGGGAATCGAACGAACCCCTAAGCAAAACCCTTAATTAATTGATTACCTTCGCTCCCATTACCTTAACGTTAGATCTAATCACATACGTATATGTGCAATTAATTAATTTAGTTAACCCTAATTTTGCCTGCACATATATGTGTGTATATATATATATATAATCTAGCTAGATAGATAGAAGAGTGTGGTGATTGTGTCTTTTGATACAAGTGGTGACAGATCTTGATGCAAATCGACAGCTTTTTCGCCTCTTTGTCATGGTTATGTTAGGGTATCATAATTCAAAATACACTTTTTATTATTTTTATCTCTCTATCTTTCAAAATATTTCTTCGTTATATAATAAAAAAATAATTATACATTAATATTAAAATACCGTTCACTTTTATCTTTACATATATTACAAACATACAATTGTATATACAATTACTTTATTTTTTTAATATATTACGAAACTCCAAAGAGTCTATTTCCTTGGAACGGAGGGAGTATATTTTTTTCCATTTTCAGAATTTATTTGTTTTCATTTTTACAAATTTTATGCCTTTAGTATATCTTTTTGAAACGACAGTGTTGGTGCTGATTGAGTTTGTATTGATTTGACTTAATCAACATATATAATTAAGACATACAGTGTATATTCTATATAATAGAGCACAATATTGTATCATACTAGCATATGCTGTAAAATTTTATATGTGTACTCTAATGTGAAATTATATTATCGAGTATGCATTTTTTGTCTCAATTATATGTGTCAACTAGATCAACGGTGCTTATTTGACTAAGTCACCACTCAAATCAAGAGTTCTTTTTGAGCTTTTAAGTTTCTAAAATTATTAATACTAATATGTTTTGATTTGTATTCAAGTTTCTATTTTTTATTTTTTTATTAATAAAGTTTCATTAATTCTTTAATGGATAAATTTTATGTTGTTGGACTGTATATCTAAATTGGTTTGGTGCAAATTTGGAGGCAAGGAATGAACATGCAATTGCAAGGTTAGGTGATGGTTAATCATGAGTCTGGTGTTGCAATGAATTAAAGCTGATGGAATGGATCGAGTGTTTATTCGTTCAATTAATTGCATTTGTTCGATCATATCATATCATATCGTTTCATTCATTTATTTTTCAATCAACGCAACCACCATTAGGTGCTTTTTCAGGAACAATTAATTATGCTCCCTCCCTATGTTCCAAAACTATAGTTTGGATTGTGTTTGGCACGAGATTTAAGGAATATTGATATTATATCGGCGGTGGACAAAATGTACGGGTAAAAGACTTTTTACCCTTATGAGTGTATTAGTGTAAAAAGTAGTGGCAATTGTACCACTACAAAAAAATAGTATATTAGTAACGGAATTCTGTTCCTAAAGTGTGTGTAGTTAACGAAATTCCGTCTCTAATTTCGTCTCTAATATTTTTAGTAACGAAAAAAGGAGATTTAAAGACAAAAAAATTTTGTTACAAAATTAATATTTTTTTGTAGTGTGTGTAATAATAATGAAAAAGTAAGGGTAATTTTATAGTGATATGATTATTCATAAAAATTAGATTATTATTTTACGACGGACAAAAATGATAAACTGGACAATTTTATTTGAGCCAGCTTCTCCAATTACCTTTTTCCTCACCTGTCAATTTTCTTGGGGAAGAAAACCAATTTAATTAATTTGATGTGGGTGGTTTCTTTGTTTTCAAAACATCTTTAATGCCAACATTTTTCATCTACAATATATATACACATATATATATACACACACATGTATGTATGTACGTATTCATGATTGGTTATTATGTTGAATGAGTTAAGTTAGTGTCATAAGGGTGTGTTTGTTTGGAGTATTTGTTCAGATCTGGCGTATTCATCAAAAAAATATTTTCTAAAAATATCAAATCAAATACATATTTTTTATTTTTTATATTATAGTAAAAAGTAATTTTACATTCAAAACATCATACCAATACCTATTTATATCACATTATACAACTATTTAAATTCAAAATTTTCACTATTCAGATCTCAATTCAAAATCCAAACCTCCAAACAAATGTTAGCATATATGATAACATAGACAATACATATCTAAGAATATACAACATGTGTCATGATAGCATATAATATAATTTTATATAATACAATATATTATCAATTTTAGCACAATAAATATGTTTATACATCAAAGTAAATATATAAATTATACAGCATGTATTTTTATATAATACAATATTATATTGTGTTATATAAAAGTATTTGTAGATGATTTTATACAATCAATATGTATCTACTTTTCACAAGTATATATGCATGAATAAATCAATGTCTTAATCTTTCTTCTAAGTTGTGCATAGGTGAGTCTTTCCATTAATTAGGGAATTGCACTCACCAACTTCTAGAATTTGACCTATATTTTAACCATTTTCAGTTGAGATTTTAATACTTTTTCTTTAATTTTCAATTTTGTAGGAAAAGGGGGAAAATCATAAATAATCATTATCAACTCATAAAATTAATTTGAGTAAGGAAAAAACTATTATTTGTTCTTCTATGTTTACATTATTAAAAAAAAGAAAGAAAAAGAAAAACATAACACACAATTCATATATTATCAATTAATATATATATATATATATATATAACTTGAGAAAAGTGTCCTCAAAAAGCATATAAATATACAATTTGGACCACTTGATTAAAGAGTAAATCACAAATAATAAATAAATATTATGTATTTTCTATATAGGTTATGTTCTTTTAACAAAAAAAAATAAAATACATATATTTTTTAAAAAATATTAATATATTATATATATTTATTATTTTTATTTTTTTACACAATTTCTTATATCCCACAACTTTTTTACACAATTTTTTTTAAAAAAAATTCTCCTTCAAATTATCTAATAAAAGAAACACACCTACTAGTTTTTTGATTTTATATTTTTTTTTGTACATTATAGAAAATTGTATAGATAATATATATATAAAATACTTATTTTATATTAAATTTTGAATTTTGTGAAAAATATTATACAAATATTATATATATTGAAAATTATTTTAGAAAAAAATAGTTGGGTGAACAAATGTCTGACGTATCATATATACTCCATCTGTTCCGGAAAAAGAGTTTAATTTTTGCACGTAGTTTTTTTTAATATTTGTATTATATTAATATGTAGTACAAATTAATAAGAAAAATAAAAAAAAATCTCTATTAGTATTATATAATATGAAAGTAATAATATTTGTATAATAAATTATAAATTATAAAAATATTTATTATATTAGATAAATACTATTACTAAATTACAAAACAACTCCCTTATTTTGGGAGAAATAATAATGAAAAATGACACATTTCTTTTGAGGCTGGTGGAGTATAGCATATTAAAAGTTTACAAGATGGTTGTGCTCGTGCACCTTCAATTGAACAATATGCGTTTTATCAACTATAAAGTTCCTTTTATATAAAATTTTCGAAAGTTTAAAAAAAATAATACTCCATTTGTCATTTATCTATGCTCTTTTTTTTTTTTTTTTTTTAATTGCTATAAAAAAATATTAAGTAAAAAAAATATTAGATTTTTTTTTTTTTTTTATATTAAATGTCATCTTCCAAAAGCAGATGGTTGGACAAAAATGAAAGGGGCCTAAATCCTCTCCATTTTTGCAGCCTCGGTGCCAGGGGTTTTGTGTTTTTTTTTTTTTTTTTAATGTATTGTGTAATTTCTTTTTTTTTAAATAATATATAATTTTATTTTTTTAAAGTGATATATAATTTTATTTTTTAAAAAATAATGTGTAATGTTATTTTTTAAAAGTGATATATAACTTTATTGTTTTTTTTAAGTAATATGTAATTTTAAATAAAATATAAATTATATTCCTTCTGTGCAGTTAGAAAGTATATACTTCCTCCGTCCCATTAATAAGTATCCAATTACTTTTTATGCGTAGTTTTAGGTATATTAGTATTATATTGGGATATAGTAGAAATAAAGTAGAAATTATTAAAATAACCTTGTTAGTATGTGTGATATAAAGGTAATGATATTTGTGTAATATATTGTAAGTTGTCAGAGTATTTGTAATGTTAGGTAGATAGTACAGTTACTAAAAAAGGAAATGGATACTTTGTTATGGGACAGACTAAAATGAAAAAATAGATACTTTGTTATGGGACCGAGGATGTATATTTTTATTTTGGGACGTCCAATTACAAAGTAAACATTTAATAAAATACATTATTTTTTTTTCTACAATACGCTTACTTTACATCACATCATTATTTTTATACCAAAAAACAAAGGCAAAAATATTATTACACTACTTTTAACTAGGTATTATAATTAAAATATTATTATTTTTAAAAATTGCGTCAAAAATAAATGTTTTTAATAAATTACATAAAAAGAAGAGAATATATTGAGTTGGAGAATTGCAATGAGAGAGAGAGAGAGAGTTGTTTGAATAGATAGATAGATACATTATCTGGTTCAACTTTTTGTAGTGTAAGATTTTGTGTTTGGACTATTAGAAGATCTTTGTTGGGTGAGGTGGTCAGAAACATGGAGGGGGGTCTCCCTGCCCTTAGAGTTAGAACCACCCATTTAATAGCCCCTGCCCCTGCCCCCTGCCCACTATATTATTGGTGTGTTTCCTTTGATAAATTCGGGAGAAAATTGGTTTGAGTTTGGTATAAAAATAATATTTGATAAGATATTTTATGAGAGAAAAAAATATATTTTTTTCGGGAAATACAGAGTTTAAATAGTAAAATTTTGGAAAATTTGGCTAAAGAAACATACCTTGTATATCTATTTTAATTTATTTTATACTCCTTCCGTCCCGAAATTATAGTATTAGTTGTGTTGGGCACGATATTTAAGGAATATTGATATTATATTGATAGTGGGTAAAAAGTATAGGTAAAAGATATTTTTGCCCTTATGAGTATAGTAGTGTAAAAGATAGTGGCAATTGTGTAATAATAATAAAAGAGTAAGAATAGTTATACAGTGATATAATTATTTATGAAAATAAAACTATTGTTTTCAAACAAATAAAAATAGTAATAAGACTATTGTATTGGAACGAAAGGAATAGTACTTATGTACATCCGTATGTATGCATTCACAGAAGCATATTTGTTTATAATTGTCCAATTACAATTCATTATATTTTCGTTTCATTTTCATTTTTATTTTGTATATTGCTATTTCATTTTAAGAAACACGAGAATAAAATTCATAACTTACTACAATTGTTCT